TATATATATATTAGGGGTGCAACAATACAGAAAATTCACGATTCGGTTCGGTTCGATACTTAAGTTTCACGGTTCGATATTTTTTCAATACAAAAAAGAGACATTTCCATGTCCATTTTAACTTTTGGTTTATTTAAATTAATTATGAACATTTGTTTAACCTCAAAAATAGAGTTTTTACATTAAATGTTGCTGAAACAGCAAGTTTCTCAGTGGATCTGCGCTCAAAAATGCAGCCTGGTGAAGTAGTCGAACACAGATCCACTGATCCTTTAACACAGAGCATCTTCAGAAGGCAAGTTGATAAAGTAAATTTTAAAAATCTGTATTGTTTGATACAAGTGTGTATTGAACCTAAAGCACTGATCGATATGGGTACACGTATTGTTGCACCCCAATATATATATTTACATATATGTATATATTGTTTGTATGTGTTATTGCAGTTTGCTTATTTGTTCCATCATAAGCCACTTTTCAGGAACATCATTGCTCCATCTTTTGTCAGTGAAATAAATATAGGCAAACTTTTTAGCTGGCACACTATAAAAGACTTAACTAAAACATGTTTCATTGTAATAATGTAATAATTTATTGTGCCTGTCATTTAAAACCTTTCTTACCTTTCTTTCCAGGTGACTCCATCTTTAAGGTGCACTTTTTCACTCCTAATTTCTTTCCACCGGGAGCTGGCGGATGCTACGACACCAAGGTGTGCCTGTGTCACGGAGAATACGTGACACGTCACGACCCACCGCTGCTGTATGACCTTTACCATGACCCCTCAGAGTCCCGCCCACTGAGTCCTGAGACCGAGCCTCGATATGCAGAAATCCTCGAGCGGACCACTGAGGCTGTGGAGAGACATGAAGACACTCTTAAACAAGTGGAGACATCTGATGAGGGACAGTTGCAGACCAGCTCTGACACCAGCGGAGTTCAAAACCAAATGACTTGGGAAAAGATTTTGTGGAGACCCTGGCTGCAGCCCTGCTGTGGGACGTTTCCTTTTTGTGGGTGCAAAGAAAACACAAAGCAATTTTAAGACAAAAAAACTCTTTCCGATTAGGTTTGATGGAAGTGTTTTTAAAAGATGAGATAGTGTCTGTCCACAATGCAGAAAGTGTTTAGAAATCATTTGGATTTAGAGTATATTTCATGTTGATCAGGTGGCAGGACTCCAGGGTTCAATTAGAATTTAAAAAATCTGTTGTGAAAACAATTGGCACTTGTGTTTGTTGATTGAAAACATTCTGCAAAGTATATTTTTG